CTGGGGGCAGGGCCAACGATGTGGGCGGGGTCGGCGTGGGCGGGGCCGGCATGGACGGGCACGCCCATTTGTCTTGATATTGTCTTCTTCCCTCTCTATTGCCCTGGAGGGTGGAGGGGACCCACAGCTAACACAACCTGCCTGGATGCACAATTAACCGCTACATCAGGAAGGAAATTAGAAGTAGTTTATCGTGAAACAATGTGTATTTCAGTATGAAAATATTCATGTACTGAATGAAAACAATGGGAGACCTAAGGAAGCAGATAGAAAATTGGTCAACTCAGAACTAACAAGGCTTTTGGTATCCAATAGTTATCAATGACTGATTTACAGAAACAGAATCGCCAACAAAGACCCCAGCAAGTTAAGGGTTAGGGTTTCTACCTTATATGATAACGTGTGTTATGTGAATTCGTTTCATACCATTGTTCCCTAAATTCTTACCCTATCTTTCTCTAACCGTTTATATATCTTAGTCTCTCTGATAACCACTCCACAAAAGACATCACTGAAGCTTCTTTTCACTTATCTTAAAGGAAAGGTTTTACCTTTATATTACCTCTCCCTTTAGCATCAAGCAGATCCCTGTCTGAGGGGAACTTTATCTACTGAGGTTTGGGATATGGGGCCTGTGATTTAAACTGACGAAAGACAGATAAGCAAGAGAAAAGCCAGATGTTTATTCACATCCTAAAGAATTCACAGAAAAATGTGCCTCGACGAGGTGGTTAGAATTGGGGGCTTGTATGCTATCTTTTTTTTTTTTTTATGGTACTACATTTATTGAAAGTGTGAAGATACAGAACCTTTATAAATATCTAGAATTAAAAATTACCTATGAAAATAAAAACAGATTGGTTTTAAAAAGTCAATTTAGTAAATATTCTGTTTGCTATGTTTCTATGACAATATTTGGTATAAACACTACAAAATAAGGCAAACTTCTGGAAAAAGTCATTAATAAAATTTTATGCAAAAGTGTTCAGTCCTAATTTCTTGTA